AATCTTGCAAATAGAGATGTAAGACAGCTGAAAAAATTTTTTTCTCAATTTATATGGCATTGAATGTACTTTAAACAACATTGGTCATAACTTATCAAAGTTTTTACACAATTGTCAAGTTCTAACATGTTGGATTGATTCACAGTGTTTTTCACACTGTTTACTATTTGAATCACTATTCCTTGAAAGAATGTATGAATTATCACCTTGATGTCTGACTAGCCAAATTAAAGCAAGTACAAAAGATGGGTTCATAAATATAAAAAAAACTTGTGGCAATGGCTAATGAATATGCAAATTAGGTCATGTATTTATGTTCCGTGAAAACAGAACATTCTTGAAGTTGATGAATCGGTTGGAATTGAATGCAAAGGGCATGAAATTGGTCCGAATAACATAAATTGACTAAATGTTTCAATTTAGTAATCACATGATTGTTTTTACCAAGATCTTTTTTTGTCACACGCAAGGCCATTTTGTAGAAAGATGTAAAAAGACTGACCTCAAAATGGATGTCCTTCATGGAAAAGAACAAGGAATTTAAGGAAAATCTGTGTTTTCTTATGTCTTAAGCAATTTATGAAATGAGTTGCCAGATTAAATATTCATTACTAAATCTGGCAACTCATTTCATAAACTTCATATTACACAAGCATCTGTTTAAGATCATTTATATACTATATAAATAGTTTTTACCCTCTAGATCAGTAAGGAAAGTCTCACAAGCGAATACGCCCACCAGCAGCTTGATAAAGAGCTAAATGTTATCTGTAAAACAGGGGCAACTACAATATACGCCCATACTAACGTGTGGGCGTATAAAAAAAATGTTCTTCTTTTTTACAAGTGATTACTGTACCTACCATGTTCTTTACCACCTATATATAAATCAACAGGTAAATACTGATCAGCTAGTTGTTTACTGACTGGTAATTGTTGATTGTTAACATCTAAATATCGTAAATAATACCATGAAGAATCAACAAATGTATCCATTGTATCAGTTTCTCTTTTAGCATCTCCACCACATCTGAAAATATTGTATATAACATTAGAAGGTACATATAGCAAGCTGTTGGTCATTCAACACCAAAGTTTTTATACACTGTATTATATTCAAGTCATAAATAACCTTCATCAGACATATTTCATGGCTTCCAACCCTGGGTACATGTGAGAAGATTTTTATAAAATATTATGACAAATATTTAGTAATAAGCTAGACCTTTCGGCTAACTGGAACCTTTGTTGTTAATGAGCCATTTGGTTCCATCGCCATACTAGCATAAACTTCCAAAAGGTTGAGAAACAGAACTTTTCTTAACATGTATTAATGGATGACTTACAACTTTTCTTAACATGTAATAATGGATGACTTACAACTTTTCTTAACATGTAATAATGGATGACTTACAACTTTTCTTAACATGTAATAATGGATGACTTACAACTTTTCTTAACATGTAATAATGGATGACTTACAACTTTTCTTAACATGTAATAATGGATGACTTACAACTTTTCTTAACATGTATTAATGGATGACTTACTTTGGACACTGACAGTTGACCCATTCTTCTATTTGTGATAATGGTGAAGAGCCTTTATTAGATAATTGTTTGACTCTAGGTAATTCTACCGGCAGATCTTCTATATTCACTGGCACATACTATAATATAATAAACATTTAAAGTAAAGTTACTTCCAATTTCTAGTCATTCCAAACTATTCACTTATAGTTTGGGCGAGAATGGTAAAATTTGAAATGTCACATTGTCTTTGAGTTATAAGATGTAATTTCTGTCGATTCAGTCAGACATGTATTTATTATAAGCAATAACTAAAAGAAAGCCACAAGTGAGACAAAATTAATTTTATACATTTTTTTTTTTGTATAAACAATATTTATTAACATAATAGGATTGGGCAACCTCTCCTTTTATACTTAAGCAATATGCAATGTCTGGATAACATTTTGAAGAATAAGATCCCTATCATCACAAATTGTGCACACTTCTGCAGAGAATCATCTCCATGATCCAAAAGTGCCTACATTTACTTTTAAAATAGCCTACACCTGTTCCAAACCATGTGTCAAAAAGCATA